AGAGCCCCGGACAGCGAGCAGGCGGCGCCCGACGAGGAGGACGAGGGTCCGGACGTGAAGGCCGTGCAGGCCCACTACCTGCGCAGCCCCTCGCCCAGCCAGTGAGTATTGCTGCAGCGGCCACCCTGCCCTCCCGGGAGCACGTGGCAGATCCGTCGCTTGCCTTCCCTCCTCTTCCACCGCCTCCTCCCCGCATGGGCACTGGGGTCAAGCATGGAGCCCAGGGCTTCCCTGCCCTCCCTGAGGCAGGGGCCGGCGTGCCAGCAGGGAGAGGGACTGCAAAGACAGGGCTCCTGCGCGAAGTAATCCACCCCGCCGAGAGGGTGCGCGCACACGGCGGGGATGGATTGCGGAAAGCATTGCTGTGGGGTGCTGTCGTTGCTCTTCCCCGTCTCATCCTCTCACGTCCACCCCCATGCTGAAACTTCTGTTCTGGATTTCAGCTCCTCCCAAATTCAGCCCTGCCTTTCTGTGAATTATTAAGGACCTGTGGATTTTTTTAATGTTGATATTAGCCTTTCCCAGCCCCAGAAAGACTGAAGGTCTTCAGATTTGGGTTGGGTTCAGAGCCATCTTTAGCTAAAGGCTTGAGGCGCTGAACAGGAGGCTGTCACAGTGCAAGCAGAAATTGAGTTACCTCAAGCAAAACAAGCATGATTAGATGTGTTTTTTTCCTAATATGAGGAAAAATACGTCTCTTTGTACCCTTTTCCTAAAGCAAAATGTTCTGCAGGGCTTTCTGTACTCTTTGAGATGATTTATCTGAAGGCAGGGAGTAGGGATCAAGTTTGAAAAGAACCTGTCCCAGTGGCCCTCAACAAGTAGGAGGTTATGAAATGTTTACCATTAACTGTGGGGCACTGCAGAATAATGAAGACAAAGTGCATATTTCATTTAACCATATGCATTTAAAAGTTGTTTAGGAAGTTCACTGAGCTCACATAAAGTAAAATTATGTATTGATCTTGGTAAATCACTCTCCTACTGCTCATCGGTCACTCAAAATGAACAGAAGCACCTCTCCAGTTTATTGCCTTCCCTTCCCTTGCCTTGCCTTGCCTTGCCTTGCCTTGCCTTGCCTTCCCTTCCCTTGCCTTGCCTTCCCTTGCCTTGCCTTCTCTTCCCTTTTTTCTTCTCTCCTTTTTTCCTTGCTGTCAATACCAAAAGCAATGATGAAAGTGGCAAGGTCCTTCTCAACAAGAACAAGGCCCTTGGAGCATCCAGGCTTGGGCAGTTCTGCACCTGTGTGTTCTGTGGTTGCTTGGGGCAGCTACAGGTAAAGTGTGCTGAGGCTGTGGTGGCAGATTATTACCAACTGTTATCTTTTTATTGAGCTTGGAGGCAACCTTTACAGCAAAAGGAACTGAAGGCAGGGCATAGCTGCAAATTTTTGTCTGCTCCTGTAAATGAGCCTGAGACTGCCCTTGCTCATCTCCTAAGCTCCTCTGAAGAGCTAAAAAAGGATTACTTTCAGTCACGGTTGACAAGTGCTAGAACCCAACTAAACGACCTAGACAAGCCCATTTAGTTGTTCCCCACAGCTGTGCCCTCCATTTTGATTCTGGAGAATGAAGGCAGGTTAGCTCTCCAGATACTTTGCAGCACCCTGACTGCACATTAATCACCCTCCTCTTCCTTCTTTAATTAATCACAAACAAACAGTGTGTTGCAAGTACTGCAAGCCTGCATTGCCAGATAGCTTCTGTCATGGCAGCAAACTTGTCCTAATGATCTCCACCATCTATTTGGAAGGACATGTAGACGGTGTGCATTGGGGAAAAAGCTCTGTAAAATATTTTGTTAAGATGGTCTGAACAAGAAGAGAAGATTTGCTTGGACTTGACAGGTGGACCCAGATGGAAATGTATTTGTTTTCAAGATTGTCGCCCTTCTTTGCTTAACAAAAACTTATGTAAATCATGCTGTGTGTCAAAGAACTCCCTTCAAAGGCATTTGTGGGTTTCATAGTTGTTTCTGACCTGCAGTTAGACAACACTATGTGTACGGAGAGACTGACCACAGATTCATGCCATGAAGTGACCCAAGTACTGAGTACTGAGGGAGAGATTCACAGGCTTCAGTCTTAATGCTTGCATTGCACCTTGTGATGACTCAAAGGAAGCTTGTAGGCAATTAGCCAACAGAATAAAAACCCCCACCACTAACAGTTGTCTAGCATAATCTGTTTTGAATTGCTCAATAAATTCTAGTTAGGACAATGTTTATGACTGTCTGTCTAAGTGAGAGCTACTTGTGAGACTATTCCTTGTGACCCATCCCCCTCCCAGTCTCAAACCAGACACTGAGCTTCTCTACCCAAAAACTCCTCCTGCAGTCCATTCTCTTGCATGCCTAGCACTGCAGCTCCTCCTCATGGGACCTGTCTGTGTCCTTCAAACACTGGATACCAAGGCATATTTGAAGCCTGTAATGCCATGCTGGAAAGCAGGGTGGGGGTGGGTAGCGGAAGAAGAGCTGGGACTTCACTTTTGTCGTCAAAGGATCCTCGCTGCTCCAGTTCCCTGCTGCTCTCTTCTGGAATGGGTGAAAAGAGCTAAAGTCCTGGAGATGGGATCCCAGTGGAGGGCATTTGCCTAATAAGCAGTGTGGTTGGTTGGCAGGTATTCAGTGATATCGGACACTGATACAGAGAGCATCTTCATGGAGCCAATCCATCTGTCCTCTGCTGTCGCTGCCAAACAAATAATCAGTGAAGGTAAGAGGAGGAAGGGTAAAAGAACTAGGTAAGTAATAGAGACCTGAGTTGCACTTGCTTTGGCTTTCTCATCCAGAGATCCTACAATGATAAAAAAAGCCTTTATGAGAAAACCCCACCAGAGGCAGAGGTGAAAAACACAAAGAAATAACAATTTACAGAAAGATTTGGTGACTTCTTCTAAAGTTGTGCACGGAATCTGTGGCAGAATCATGTACCACAGTGGTGAACATGGTTTGATTGCTGGTTTCTCACTGCAACAAACTGGAATGGAATAGAATAGAATAGAATAGAATAGAATAGAATAGAATAGAATAGAATAGAATAGAATAGAATAGAATAGAATAGAATAGAATAGAATAGAATAGAATAGAATAGAATAGAATAGAATAGAATAGAATAGAATAGAATAGAATAGAATAGAATAGAATAGAATAGAATAGAATAGAATAGAATAGAATAGAATAGAATAGAATAGAATAGAATAGAATAGAATAGACATTGCCCCCCCTTCTAGGAAGCCTGTTCCAGTATTTGACCACCCTCTCGGTAAAGAAAAGCTTCCTCAGGTCTGAACCTCCCCTGGCGCAGCTGTGAACCGTTCCCACGCATCTTGTCACTGGATCCCAGGGAGGAGAGCTCAGCACCTCTCTCCACGTCCCCTTCTCAGGAAGCTGCGTTCTTCTGGGGCTACAATGAGCACGCCCTTCACTCCCAGGCCTTTGGCCAGAGTGAGTCTCTGGACTGAGAGGACAGTGCAATATGCTCTTGCCATTACTAACTGCCTTGAGGCTACTAGATAAGCACGTACATGCACACGTTGCAGACAGGACGGTGTGATGTTACCGGGAAAAAGGGAAGCCACAGGTCTTGTGCCAGAAACAAAGAATGACAGGTCATATATTTGTGTGTTTTTACATGCTTTTAGTTACAATGTCAGTTTATTCCAGAACTGAAGACAAAGGACGCCAAGGAAGATTCCGTGTGTCCCAGGATGTTAGAGTCTGCGCAGCAGCTGATGGTGGAAGACCTCTACAACCGAGTTAAAGAAAAGATTGATGACACCAGCTTGTTTAACACGCCATGTGTGATGGACTTGCAGAGGGCGCTTGTGAAGGACAGGCTGGAGACCCCCAGGGATGCTGTGGATGAAGTCTGGCCTAATGTCTTCATAGCAGAAAAGTGAGTGTCAGCTTTTGTCACCGAGTTGCACAAGATTCCCAGTGAAGGGTCAGATGGAACCGTTGAAGACAGAACATGTATTACACACATCTAATACCTTTCATTCCCAGAGAGTCCCAAAGCGTTTTTCAGAATATGCTCACAAAGATCTCTGTGGCCTGAAAAGTAAATACTTCTGGGATGGAGTCAGCAGCTTTCCTGTGCTGTTTTGATGCTTTGACAATTTAGGAGGGGAGAAGACAAAATGAGCCCAAATTACACTGTTCTGATTGGAATTTGGCCATGAAATTGGGACTAAAATCTTTGTTATGTAAAGGAGAGTTAAAAAAGAAATGCCATAGCAAATATTGAGTGGAAATGGTTAGGTCTTCTGTACCCTGGCTCAGCTGCCTTGGACACCTGTGCAAGTGACCAGACAGAATGAGAAGGGGATGTAGTGTAAAGCATCCATTACGGGGTGATAAAAATTGAGAAACAGGTAAACAGCCTGAACCTAGGATGGCAGGATGAGCTTAAAATCAAGCTGGAGTGGAAACTGAGCATGCACTGGTGAGTGCAGGTTTCTCATTTTCTTTCCCCAGTGAGTATTGGAAAGAAATACCTGTAGAACTCTCACAGGACATTAAGGTCTGAGTGGAGGCGCTTGTTGGATTAGTAACACAGACTGGGAGCTCTGTAGAGCTGGTAGCAGACCGCTTCTTTCCTACCCTAAATAGGAGCACTGATATCTAACATCTTTTTTTCTTTTCTGAAGAAGCGTTGCAGTGAACAAAAGCCGCTTGAAGAGACTGGGGATCACACATATCTTGAACGCAGCTCATGGTACAGGTGTATACACAGGACCAGGTTTCTACAACGGTCTGAATATCCAATACCTGGGCATTGAAGTGGATGATTTTCCAGATATGGATATCTCCAAACACTTCCGCCCAGCTGCAGAATTCCTCGATGAAGCACTGCTGACTTACAGGGGTAAGAGGAGAAGATTACAGTGGTTCCAGAGTGCTTGGGAATTAATGGGTGGAAGCGTTACTCTGATAAGCAGCCAGTGCCACATCTGTAACTGGGTAGAAGGCAGGCACTTTGTTCCCTGCATCCAGTTACGGTGAGCACTTCTTGCCCATTTCTGCCGTGCTGCATTCAAATCAGGAGAGGGCAAACTAGTGAGAGGAGGCAGTCCAGCAGCCCCTGCTGCAAGCCCCACGCCTTGAGACTCAAACTGGCTGCGAGACACCTCCCTCAGCTGCTTCGAAAGTACCCTGCTATTGCAAAGAGGTGAAGCCCTGCTCCAACAAAGATAATTTTTTATGTTGGTATTATACAATACTACATATACTGATATATATACCAGTACACTGCGAGTTGCAGTTTCGCCAGGACGCTTACTAAAAAAGAACAGGCTGATTTACTAGAACCATCCAAACAGCTGGGCTGAACCCCTGCATGTCCACACCCAGGCTAGTGTATAATTTGCTGGACTCCGATTCCATGGCAACTGTTGTTCTGCAGACCTCCAGTGCATACTGGTCATTTTGTTGCAGTTTCAGTGGGCAGTTAGAAATACCTTTATGGAATTCAATATGAAAATGAACATCACAGTCAGTGATATCATATCATATCATATCATATCATATCATATCATATCATATCATATCATATATGATATTCTTCATATATGTATTCAGTGCCTGTCATTTTTGAAGACAGACAACAGGTTACCTCCTAGTAGAAGTGACTAAGTGAGAAGTTTTGTTAGCATGCAAGTTGAGCCAATTTTAATAGCTCACCACCAACACCACCACGAGGAGGGACACTCTACCTATCTACGTTCCTCCTCCTAACTCCCATTGCGACCCTTGGCACAGCAGAGATGCTCCCTGCTGCTGGCATTCATCGACCCTTCTCCTCACTAACCCAGCAAAAACGCCAGCCCGGCAGGGAAGAGGGGGTTTTCCGGGGGGTTCTGGGCTGCCCTGCCTTATTGAAGGGCCCGGCGAGGAGAGGGTGCAGGGAGACAGAGGAGCCTTGACAGAAAGCAGAGGAGTGAGACCTCCCCCTTCTGGTGAGCTGTTAGATGGGCTTTACTGGCTGTTAGAGCAGAAGGCAAGCGAGACTTCTGATACTAAGAAAGGTGTAAAAGGCATTTTGGAATTGTAGGACCAGCTACAGTAGGTAAATACTTGCGGTAATCTATCAGCAGTCAGAAAGGTGGTGGCACAAACTGGCTTCGTTAAGTTTCACTGCAAACAACTTGGTCAAACTGGGGTTTATCACACATTTAGAAATAGTAATTTCAGTTATTTGGAGGCTAGCAAAGCCTCGTTTAAGCCCTCTTCATATTTACAGGCTTTTTTTTAACTGTAATTTGCTACAAAAGTAACTTTAAAAAACAATTATTCTGTGCCAAAGCTTAGTTTTCTGCAAGAGGTGGTTTCTGTGTAAATGCCATGAAATAAAGCAAATCCTCAGCTTTGATTCTAGCTCTTGCAGTCACTGTTTACCGAACGGTGGATCCCAGTAGTTTTGAGCAGCTGTATCAGTTTTGTCAGAGTCAAAATCAGCTCTCTTCTGCTAGTTGCTTGGTTTTCCTGTGCTGAGACATACTGTGACTCTGGCCTCCATCCAGTCTACAGGTAACTGACTGAGCGTACCTTGCAAAACAGCAGATCTGTATTCTGGCAAAAATATAATTAAACCAATATAAAATTTTATCTAAGTCCTATAATGTGCCGTATAAAAAAATAAGTTATTTGCTTATCCTCCCAATACCTTCCTGGAGGCTAATGCCAATATCTCCCCTTTTACATACGGGGAAACTGAAGCCTGGCAAGATTAAATGTCTTACCCTAAGTCAGCCAGCAAGTCAAGAATACTGTATCACTCATCTTTCTAATACCTATTGTAAGCTTTTCGATTATTTGGGGAAGTGAAGTGTATAGGTGAAAATACAAATATTATTTAATTTTTTGTAAAATGTGCCTGCCCACAGCTTTTGAAACTAATATGGTTTTTATTCATATGTATCTAGATTTTTATTAAGACAAAGCTAACAAATATTTAGTATTGGTTTCAATCACTGAAGCATAAAATCTGTCTAACTTTTAACATAATTCAAAGAATGCTTTTGTGCTACATATCAGAGCAACCTCCATGTTATGGGAAATTGCTAATTACTTTTATATTCAATATCTGTAGGCAAAATCCTTGTCAACAGTGAAATGGGAATCAGTCGCTCAGCTGTGCTGGTGGCTGCTTACCTGATGATCTACCATCATATGACCATTCTGGAGGCTCTGATGACTCTAAGAAAGAAGCGTGCCATTTACCCCAATGACGGTTTTCTGAAACAGCTAAGGGAGCTCAACGAGCAGTTGTTGGAGGAAAGAGAGTTGGACCATACTGGAGATGACGAAGTGACTCCTAGTCAAAGTCCTGTTGTCCATGCAGGGACTTCGTCCCAGCTGTCTGGAGCTGGGGACTCAGAAAGCATCATGGGAGCCAAAGCCCATTCCATTACGGTAGAAGAAGAGGACACCAGCAGCCTGCTGAGTAGTACCCTCATCAGTGAGGAGGAAGAGGAACAGTTGTATGAGGAATGGAGGAAGAAACAAGGCCTGCCTGCAAAGGAACCAGGAGTTAACCATGGAGGAAGAACATCTCCAAGGCTTCTGGATCAGGAAGGGGAACAATCTGAGGAGGATGTGGAACAGAGGATCCATGACTGGCAGCGCAGAAATGCGAAATACCAAATGGAGGGTCCACCCAGGGAGGAGGATGGAGATTCCAGCATGGGAGGAAGACCTTACCGATCAGGTGAATTCAGTGATGTTGAGAGTGTGAGCAGTTTTGAAATCCGAACCCTAAAACAACAGCTGGAAGCCAGTAGCTTTAGCAGGATGAGGAGAAGCCGCACAGGCTCTGTGTCTTCAGAGAGCACTTGGGATATGTGGAACCAGAGGCTCCTGGAGATTGAGAAGGAAGCTGCTCAGAGGTATCGTTCTAAGAATAAAATTGGTGGGGAGAGACAATCCCCAGAAACAGGAAGAAAGGAGAGGGATGCAGATGAGGAGAGTGTGTTTTCAGACAGTAGCTCCTTTTACAATTTCTGCCAAAAGAACAAAGACAAATTGACTCCTCTAGAAAGGTGGAAGGTCAAGAGGATCCAGTTTGGTTTTCACAAGAAGGATTTAGAATCATCATCGTCTTCTGCACCATCTCCAGCAGAAGATGGCAGCGAGGCTGGTGGGGAGGGGACAGGAGGGAAGAGTTTGTCAGACATTAATCTGACAGCTTACCAGGCTTGGAAAATGAAGCGGCAGAAGAAGGTGGGCAGTGAAAGCACAGAGGAATTTGTGGAGTTTGCCAAAAGTGAGGATTCTGCTTCAGCCAAAAAGAAGCAGAGGCGTGTAGAGCTCCTTGAACGCTCAAAGAAAATTTTAGAAGAAAGTCAGTCCATGTGCAGCTGGGAGACAGACAGCATGATGAGTGGGAGTATCCCACTGTCAGCTTTCTGGCCCTCAGTGCCTTCTGCAAGCGGTGCCGAGGATGCAGCTTCTGCACTGAGCATGCAGACAAATCATTCATCTTTACCACAGACCAGGAGCAGCACGGGGGTGATGCAGCCTCAGCTGCCAAATGTACCCCTTCCCAATCTCCCAGTTGGCCCAGGTGACACAATATCCATGGCAAGCATTCAGAACTGGATCGCTAACGTGGTCAGTGAAACCATTGCTCAAAAGCAAAATGAGATCATGATGCTGTCCCGTCCATCATCTGCAATGGCCTCCAGCGTAATGTCAGGAGACCTTGGCAGGCGTGTAGATGATGATAAGGTTTCTCTTCTCAGTGCTCAGAGTGGCTCATCTCTTGCTGCCTCCCAGCTTCGCCAGCAGGACACGCACAGAGCTGGGTCTCAGTCTGTCCTGTCTTGCAATACCTCAGTGAGCACAAGGACAGAAGGCACTAGTTCAAACATGAAGACAACACAGACAAGCAAGCCACTGTACAGCCTCTTTGCTGATGATGTTGACCTAAAGAAACTCAGGAGGAAAGAGAAGGAGATGCAAATGGAAATGAGAGAGAAAATGTCAGATTATCAAATTGAAAAGGTGATCAGAGACAATAAACGCAGCACTTTATTTAAAAAAAAGATGACCAAAGCAGAGGAAAATGAAATAGAAGATGACAGAGAGAGTATAACAAACAGCCACAGGAGCCCCTTGCAAGCAGATCTTGACAGAACTGATACAGTCTTTGATCTGCCCCATCAACCTGCAAGCACAGGTGCACCAAAGTCAGAGATAGAGACTGACATCACCAAGTGGCTCAGTGGCCTGAAAGCAGAAAGAGAACCACCATCATATTATGATCAGAGTGAGAAGGCTAGAGAGAAATATAGCAGATCATCCAAAGTGAGAGAGACGGATTCTGAAACATCCAGTTACAGCTTCTCCAGATCCCAAAGGGAAGAGCTAGACAGCTGTTCTTCCTACGAGTCAAAAGGAGATTCACTGAGAACCATGTCAAGATTTTCCTCTGCTTCTGCGAAAGAGGACAAAAAGATGTATAAGTTCACAAGGTCAAGGGTCAGTGAGACAACAAGTTCCAGAGAAAAGAGCCCAGAGCTGCATTTTTTCAGCCGAACACCTGAACCATCCTCTTTCTCTGAATCTCCTGAACCATCTACACAGAGTCGAGTTAGATCTCATCGTGTGGAGGCGTGTGAAGAGGAGGCCAGGTCAGACACATCAGAATTTGGAGCTAAGCGAAAGTTCACCCAGAGCTTTTCAAAGTCTGAAGAGGATGGAAAGAAGGAGGCAAAAGTGGAACAAAGTGAAGAAAGATTTGCATCTAGACAGTTCTCTCAGTACAGGCGAAGCGTTCGTAAAGAGGAAGAAGAGATGGATGATGATGCCATTATCGCTGCTTGGAGAAGCCGACTAGAAGAAACTACGGCAAAGCTCCGGCGGAGAAGGGAAGAGTGACCAAGATCAGATTATAGGAACACAGGCAGAGCCACAGAGTCCCTGAATCACTCATCATTATATTTCTGATAATCCTTTGTGGTCTGTAGGGCATTTCCTGCAGACAGTTCTCTTCTTAATCAAAAGCGATAAAGGGAAGAGGTCAAGTTTTGGAAGTGTTTGTGGTTTGTCAGAAAGAAGATGCTAGTATTAAATGATCAATGTAGGTAGGAACACAATGTTAGAAGCCATTAGGAGCCAGACAATGTTTCAGCAGCAAAAGAAGTAATGCTGGCACCTCAATTCAAAAGACCAATCACATCCCATTTTGGTTATTTCAATTTCCTCGTCTCATTAAAGACTGGACATATTTTTTCTAGGATCTTTTTGATCATAAATGGAAGAAGCCAACAGCCTTTTCTAGGAACTTGAAGAATGTTCCTGTCTTAATCCATTTTACTTTATACCACTGAGAAGATATTGCCAGGTAGACTCCATTTTCTGCACCAGTCTTATGAAGGTCTACAGAAATAAGACATTTCAGGGGAATACATGTGCTGTTTTACTTCACTCAGTAGCTAAAGCAAAATGAAATACTAGAAAAAAGAAGATGCCTCCTTCTTTTTAGAAGTTTAGTGAAGTAATGAATGTATTCTTGTGGTACCATTGTTTTCTGTTAGGTGGAGTCATCTCTGTTCCAGTAGGGTTGGTTCCTGCTTTGGGTCAACAAAGGAAAAATCTAGTAATATTAACAGCCATCTAAAAATTATGTTCTGAGGTAGTTAAAGAGATGGAGTTAGTGTTAGGTTAGGTTGGGTTTCTGAAGTAGTGACTTCAGTTTGTTTTATGTTTGCAGCTCAGCTAAGTCTGTGATTTTATGTCTATAGTCAGATTGTCATGTATTAATTTTCAACATGATTGCCTTAAAAGAAAAGAGTGATACACAAACTGACCTCATAATAAAATTATGTATAACTAACGCATTGGTATAAGGTACCGTATACCTAAGGACAAATTGTATGTCTGTTGAATGTGGTACTTGGAAGCTCGTTCTTAGGAGATGGCAGGTTTAGTTGGCGTGTTGCAGTTAATGTGGTGTTTGTATCACGAGCTACAGAGCCCACTTTTCAGAGTGGAAGGAGCATGGCCTCCATGTTAACTGAATACACCAAATTAAGAGCCTTGGGTCCTTCCATGCCCTGCAGAGCCTCGCGAGCTTGTGCGACACGACCTGCCAGGCCTGCCACAGCATCACTTGTGTTGCTCCTATGACGCTGTGTCTTCGACACATCAAAGCACCCAGCTCTTTGTCACCAGTCAGCATCCTCCACCTCTCTCTTATAAACGCCTAGGCCAGTTTCTCCCGATTATCTGTTCCCTCTTCTGTACAGACTGTATTTTAGAACCACAAAACCCTCTGGCAGAGCTGAGTATAAAACAACAACGGAGGGATGATACAGTATTGCTCTCTCACAGGAAGTTGTGTCTTTTTCTTGTCATCTCTTCTCCCTCTCACTGCAATGCTTAGAGCTCACTATCACGATTATGCTAGTATCTCTCCTTGTTTTAATTGTGTAATACAGACAGTAAGCTCCACAAGGGCAAGGGCTTGGCCTTTGTCCTTGTCTGTATGACACCACGCACATCAGCAATGCTATCTAAATAATGGTTATTGATAACAAAATGCAGCTGCCAATTTTCCTAAACTTAGAATAATTTCTCTCAACTATAACTCACTGATTAGACATTATCCCTGCTTCTCTGAAGATAAAGATGACTCTTTCTGACAGGCAGGACTAGCGTAAATGACAGCTGCTTACTGTCAGGTGAATGGAGTCTCAAAATCAGGTGATTGAACAATAACAGGGGTAGAAAAATAAGAGAAAGAACATATTTTCCTTGTGGTTTGGGGTTTTTTTTTTTGAGTAAACTCAGATTACATTTTTGAAGTACATAAGGAACATGGTCTTGTTAATGTTTCAGGCATCCAGAGACGCTATAAGGCATATAATGCACTTCTACTACAGTATAATATATAATACAATGCATCCCTTCTTTCTGCGTACTTCTGTGAGTTGTATTTTTTTAAAGTAGTGGAATTCCAGGCTTTGGTCCACATTCTGAGATTTTATATTGAATTTCTGCAATGTGTGTTAGGATAGGCTTTTTCCTCTTTTCTTCATCCCTGGTAAAGTTACTCTGTGGAAAAGAACTCTGCACATGCATGTTTGGAGCTCGCTTTAATTTCAGTGTAGAATAGGCCTTCAGTTTCGACGGATGGAAGTGGAAGTGTACAACATCTTCTGGCACTAGGTTTACTTTTTCATCAACGGCTGGTTCCCTGTGAAAAATCCCTCTCCCGCTTCCTACGGCTGCCTGCTGTTCTCAACAGAACTGTCCGTCCTCTGCAGTACTGTAGGGGGCATCTCGCACTGTAAAAGATGAGCATTATAAGATGTAGCGATTGGTTTCATCTTCCACTGTACAGTACAGCCTTTGTTTGGGTAGCATTTTGATTTAAACAGTAATCTAGGTCTGCCGCACAAATAAATTATTCAAGACCGAGGGGCAGAATATGGTTCTGTAAAAAGCCTGAGCCAAACCATCCTGATAGCGAGTTTTGACCCTTCTGGGGAAGGGTTAAGTGGGTTCTGCTGACTCACTGAGGTAGGTGGCTTATTAGTTCACTTGTGTAAAAGGGAGATAAAAATGGTTTGCTGGGGAGAGGCCATCTAAGACGCCGGCTGAGCAGTCATGAGGGAGAAGCCTTAGAAACAGCTGAACTTTATTTTCTTATTGCTTATATTCTTGTTAATAAAGCCAAACCCCCAAAGCAATAAGGGGGTGGGGATCATTTTTGACTCTATTCAGTATACGGCCTGTGCTTGAAAGCGAGATGGGAAAGGCTTCAGCTCACAGGTATAAATTACATGAAACAGTGACATAAAGACCTTGCATGGTGAAAATATTAAAGCATTCAGTCATAAGACCAATAACCAGGAAAGACAGAAATGGAGAGGTTGAAGGCAGGCTAGAAAGTCAGGTTTTAAGATGAGAATTTAGAAGGAGACAGAGAATCGGTGAAAGGGGAGAGGTCTGCACAGATTGTTTCAGGTGACCAGCGCTGCAGAGTGACTGGTTTTTCAGCAATGACACTGGTCTGACACTAGATTGAAAGAGTAGGTAAGTACCCAAATTTATCTAGCGAGGATTTTTCAGCAAAGATGCACTGGGACTAATATTTTTGCTCAGCGTCAGCTTGCTGCTGTAGGCACGAGAGGTTTTTTGGCATTGTATAGTGGAAGGTGAAAGTGCAAGGAGCATCCATACAGTCAGTTAAGAATATAAACACAGGGACATCAGAAAGACTGTATGGGGTCAGACCAAAGGTCCATCTGGCTCAATATCCTGTCTCTGACAGAGAACAACAGTGAATACCTAGGGAAGAATATAAGAGCAGTGATATAAGTGATATTTCTCCAGCATGATCTTCCAGCTTCTAATAATTTGCAACTCAAGGACCTCCTGAGCCAGATGTGATATTTTTGTATTTAATAGCCCTGGATAGATTTTCCTTCTATGGAGGTGCCTAGTCATTTTTGAGTTATAGCCATTATAGCCTTGTACCCACTAGCCTCCGTGATCTCTTGTGGCAAGAAGTCCCACAACTTACTCTGCACTGAATGCTAAACCATCTCCTTTTTGTCTGTTCTGAACGTGCTGCCCACTAGTCTCCTTTGATACCAAAATAATCTCTAGTTAGTACCTGTGTGCCACACAGGATTTTACCCACCTCTATCGTTGTGCCCCATCCTTAGCTCTCTGTTTTGCAGCCCGGGTTACTCATTCCTCATATGGGAGCTGCTCTTTCCAGTTCTGCTTTGTCACGTTTGAGGTGAGGGACCAAATCCTCACACAGTATTCAGGGTGCAGGTGTGGCAGGGATTTATCCTGTGGCATAATGACCTTCTTTTTTCTGTTCTCTCTTCCTTCCCTGTTAATTCCTAACAGTTTGCGTGCTTTTTTGGCTGTTACTGAGCACTAAGGTGATATTTTCATGGAACTATTTATTATATCCACAAAATCTTGTTGCTGGATGGCAATAGTCAGCTCCAAGTTCATAATTTTATATGTTTTCTTATGCATAATGCTTTACATTTATTAGCCTTGAATTTCTGCTGCCATCTTAGTGCTCAGTCTCTCAGTCTCATTAAGCCCTTCTGCGTTTTTTCATAGCCAGCCTCTCATTTCTACTACTGTTTCCTTAACGTCCTTTGAACAACGTAGAAACTCGGAGTACGTGGGAAGCAAAGAAGTTAAGGAAGGAACATGAGAAAGAAACCCATTTGACGTTGGTCTGAGGGAAGTAAGAAGTAAGAAAGCGATGAGAGCTGGAGAGCTAGGAGAAAAGTTTTCAAAAACAGATCTGAAGACAATAGACAAATTAAGAAGGGGACCTACGTTGGACGGAGACAGTAAGATATATATATAAGCCAAACAGGCTAATGCAAAATATTAATTTGCTTAGATGTATAAAAATTTGGGGAAAGGTTATAGCACAACGTCTGGGGGAAGGAAGGAGATGGTGGGGTTTACAGAAATTACAGGTTTGTGAGAAATGCAAAGGGGACTGTGAGAAATGGAAAGGGTGAGAGACATTAGTGGGACACGGATGATAAAATTATATCTGTGCTAGACTGGCAATTCAATGTGGCAGAAGCAAGTTTGGAAGGAAGCGGAAATGTGCCAGAAGGAAGTTACTCCTAGTGTAACAGATGCATTCTGTGTCATAATACTGATACACGTAGGGCCATGGCCCATTTCCCCCCATTTAGGAGTTTCAGGGCAATTTGATTTATTGTATGTGGCACTAGTTTAGACTGGATAATTTTAAAAGGAGTTTAGCACCATTTACTTCTTTTACAGCTCCTTGAGAAACGCTTGCGCATTAGCTGTAGTGGAGAGCTAGGTGAATTATGAGACCAAAAGTTTTACTTGGGGATGGTTATGTTGCATTGCCT